CTGTAAGCCCACCGATCGTCACTGTTACTGTCTCTTATACACATCTAGATGTGTATAAGAGACAGCCGTTAAACCACACATTGACACAGATTCACCCATCTGTATATTCAAACATAGCATAAGAAACAGTATACAGTAAGATAACTATTAAAAAACCGTTAAACCACACATTGGCACAGATTCACCCATCTGTATACCAACATTATAACACGATAACATTCCTTTTGCCAGCTGGGAAATGAAGCGGTTTGCAAAGTCATGGTGTATAGAATTGATCACGTCAAGCCCCACTTATGCCCAAAGCAATGGTCAAGCAGAGCGATGTATTCAGACTGTTAAGCAATTAAAGAAAGGCTACAGACGACTTTGACGGCGATTTCCATTTAGCTTTGCTGGCCTACCTTGACGCCCGTTGGCCGGTATTGGTTTATCACCGGCACAACGTCTGATGAATAGGAGACTCCGAACGCGAATTCCAGCAATACGACCGACGCTTAAACCTAATATCGTATCCAATACACATGAGTCGCTGATCACTAGGCAAGACAAGCAAACGCGATACTACAATCAAGGAACACGTTCACTGCAACCATTGGGGCGTGGAGAAGTTGTTCGTCTGAGTAAAGGTCGACAGTGGATACCAGCAAAAGTGATCTCACCAGGTCCGCGCGTTCCTGCATGCTTAAATACGGTACAGGCGCAAGCTATTGTATTGGGCTTTTTGGAAGAGCTAATAAGATAGAAATTTTTAAATAATTAGAATGTTTATTTGTACAGAAAAAAAAATTTTGAATGATCATTTGTACAAAATTGAAATTTAGACATATAAATTAGTAAAAAAAAATTGAATACCAAGACGCGTTTCGAACTCACGACCTTAAGTTCTTTAGAACACATCCTTAACCGACCACACCATTCATGCGACGTGCCCTATTAGTGGTAATGGCAATAACATACAGCAATTTAAAAAAAATTAGAATGTTTATTTGTACAAGAAAAAAAAACATTTAGAATGACCATTTGTACAAAATTAAAATACCTAAAATTGAAAAAAAAAAATAATAATTCTTAAAATTGAAAAAAAATAATTGAATACCAAGACGTGTTTCGAACTCACAACCTTAAGTTCTTTTGAACAAATCCTTAACCGAAGGTCGTGGTTTGAATCGCATCTCGTTAATTTTCTTTTTTAATGAACATGGATGAAAACTGATGAAATGAAAAAAAAAAAAATACATGATTCAAACTTGCTAAATACGCGATTTGAACTCATGACCTTAAGTTCTTTAGAACACATCCTTAACTGACCATGCGACGTGCACTATTACGGTAAATGGCAGTCCTTGCAGAAACCCCTGTTTTGTTTTGTAGGTGTAGGGGGAACCCTATGGTCCAACTTAAGAAAAGGGTGATGAACATTTGTTGGAAATCCCCTTTAGTTTATGTGTACACTCAAGGGAAGCAGACACATTATTCATTACTACAAAGACGGAAGTAGGTCAAATGCTAAAAAAAATAGCTATTTCTAGTTTAGGTGCAACACATGCGGTGGCAGTGAAGGTGTCGCATGTGTTCACCTCTATACATATCGTCATTAACTTCGAATCGTCTGCTATCTGCTGATAATGTTTTTAAAATACACACATAAATGGAAATATAGTATAAATATAGTGTTAATAAAATTTATAAATCCATAAACTAACTATAAAAAGAAATGAAGGTGTACATGTGTCTAACTCCACTGATAGTTCATGAGTTGTACAAGCAAAGGTAATCCACTTCTGGCTTGCTAGGCCTATCAAAGTTTCTCTTTCAGGGTCATTAATTAGTGCCTACAATGTGTCTAAGGCTATGTTCACACACACGGCGTAAGACTGGCGTGGCTTACGCCAGGCGTAAGCTAATCCACGGATTAAAATTCCAAAGTGTTCACACAAACGGCGTTCGTTAAACTAGCAGTAATATAGGCCTA